TTGGTCAATTAATAAATTAGATTTATTTTAAAAATGATGATACAATTACTCTTCATAAATTGAAGCATTAACTTGTGGTATGAGTTGGGACCATTGTTCGTGTAACTTTTGGTTGTATTCGATTTGTAAATTAAGGAAACTTTGCAACATGCAACTGAAATCAATCTTTCTTTCTAAATCGAAACGTTCCAAATCACTCTTGAATGATTGTTCAGATTCATTAAGTCTGTCAGTCTTTTGAACAACTCTTAGTTGACCTTCTTCAATTTGAGTTTCCAAAATTTGTCTCTTATCTTCCTTCAAATTTGGCTTTTCCTTTTGAGCTTGCAATGAAGCCAAGTGAGATTGAGCACTATCCTTTTCATTTCTAGCTTCTTCAACTTGGGAAGCAGTATGTCTAATAGAATCACACATACCCAAATAATAAGTTAAGGTTTCAATAACTTGCATAGTTTCCTTTTGAGCTTGGTCATCGGTAACTTTGCTAATTTGTTCAGCTGATTGACCAACTGATAAAAGATTCTTAGCCAAAGTATTAGATTGGTCATATTCCTTTTCAATAGTACCAACAAGAGCAAATGATTTACCATATTCCATAAAACCAGTTGCCATTTCCTTTCTCTTTGTAATCATGACTTGCAATCTTTGTCTAAGTTCCTTTAATGAACTGTCCAACTTTTCAATAAACTTCTTGTGAGAGGTAATCCATTCTGGTTCTGGTGTAGAACCCTTTGATTTGAAAAGGGAGAAAGAACTACCACTTTTGGCTTTAGTTTTAACATTTTTCATTTGGTTGAATTCATCTTCATTTGCTTCGAGGAATTGTTGCAATTCTGATGAAGTTTGTAAAACTGGATGTTCACCAACACGTGTCAAGAACTTGGTCAATGCACGTTGTCTATATTCTAACAATGAATTTGTATCTACAGAAGAGAAAATCTTTTCACTGAAGATTTTAATCCGTTAAAATTTCACATTAATTTTGACAGCAGTCAATAAATCGATTCAAAAAACAAAACTTACACTGAAGCCAAAATACTCTTTTCTGGCAATGGAGGAATAATAATTCCACTATAAGAAGAAACTAACAATTCTCTGAACCAAACAAAGTCATTATATCTTCTATGACAAATCAAAGTAGCTTGTTTGTATTGATCAAGCTTGGTGTCAATAGTAATCTTGTACACCCAGTAAGACAAATCAAAAGTCTTACCAGTAGACTTCTTTTCAGGTTCACTGACAGAGAAAATAAACTACATATATTGTGATCCGATCCAAAAGTATTTAAAATATCATTAATAATCAAAATAATCAAAATATTAACAACAACAATAAAACCCCACACTACTTACAGCTGGTTCATCACTATCGGCACTAGCTTGTACTTGATGTGGTTGAGAAGCAGGAAGAGTTGGATAATCCTCATTGTCAGCACTACGAATATCTTCACCTGTTGGTGGAGAAATGAAGCCAGATTCATAATTATTGTTTTGGATTCTTCGTATTGTTGTTGTTCTTGATGTTCTTGGGCATCGTATTGTTGATGTTGTTGGTCGTCTTGTCCAACTTGTTGATCGTCGTATGAGTCCATTTTTTCTGTGTGGTAAAACATTAAAAAAATCAAATGGTGCGATTTGGAGAGTTGTAAGAATCGATTGACATCACACCATTATTAACAATTGTATATTGTTTAATTGGGCGACTGTATAGAGGTTGGCTATTTACCGGTGGTTATCGTATGGGGCGTGTTTTGAAAGGAGAATTTTGTAATTGAATTTTGAATGGTTATTCTGTGTGAAAAGTGTTTAACAACCGATAGCCTTAATGACACAACTTAGAAGCACCTTTGGAAGATATTTTTACGGAGTTTCAACAGTTGAGTAGATTTTCATTGTGAAATGGCAAGATTGTTAAGGATAAACTGAAATAATCATTAATATTCATTAATTTACAAATTTATTTACATTATTGTTGATTGGGTATTGAAGGAGGGGTTTGTTTCTTGATTTGTATATACTTTTTACTTCCTGGTGGTGATTCTTCCCTATTTGAAATATTTTAGAATTGCAAATCCAAATATACTTACCATTCAATAGCAGAAATATTCTTAGATTCATTAAATACCATGCAATATTCTCCAACTCTTGAAATATTTGCATTCCTTGATGTTGTTAAATTAATACAATTCTTTTGCCACAATTGAGTTTGAGCTCCAATAATTCTGATAATATCACCTCCTACAATATAATCGGCTTTGTGATTCCATAAAGTTAATGTAATGTAAGCTGTATCATCAGCCACAACAAAATATGTAATAAATTGATTATCCTTTGTTTTGATTGTTTGTTGTTTGTCTAGAACAATACAAGTAATCGAAAAATCGGTCATGTTTGGTTTAAGATCAGCAATTTTATAATGTTTTTGATTCGGATCCATCAATTGTTGATTATTCGGATTATTATTTGTTGGAGGTGAATGTCTTCTATTCATTGATTGTTGTTGGCCATTGGGTGGCACGTTCACTGACGGAGGTTGTTGCATTTTTTAATAATTATTAAATAAATAATTAATAATAATTATATGGTCCAATGATGGTTTTGTTTGGCTTTAAACACAGCAACTGTGGTTAAATTTTAGGCAATACTGTTTCTCCACTAGATCCTATATTTGGCATTTTAATATTAGAGAAATTAGGAATATTAGCAGAAGAACCATCAACAAAATAATCAGAAAATTCCATATTTTGTGATGCTTGTTGTTGATTCATCATCATGTTTTGTTGTAAAATATCTTCAGCTGTAATATATCTCTTCACTCGAGTAAATACATTGGCAGCATTTACAGCCATTCCTCCAATATTTTCCAAATTCTTTTTAAATTAATTCCAACTCAAAGTTTTCATTTCCAACTTACCAATGGGAGAGCATTATCCGTTTTATGTCTCTGTTGATGTAATTTAACATAGTAAATATCTTCATCAATTTCATTTTCATCAATTTTTAATTCCTCTTCCTTCTTTTCAGGTTGAATATTGTTCTGAATTGATTTCCGATCATTAAAAAACGGTTTTCCACTCAATACATTCAACATTCCCCATACTAAAAACAATGGATTTTCTCTCATCAATTTTCTAAATGAATTAATTTTTCTAGTTGTGTATTGTGTGACGTAGACAGACAATAGGCTTGTTAAAATTACTACGAATATATTCTTTGAATTTCCAATCAATAATTGATTCATGAGTAAATTACCCATAGCCTTGTCGGTACCTGGATTGTTCGATTGTTGCCTTTGCATTTTTTTAATTCAAATATTTATTATTTAAATAATATTTAATTTATTACAATTTGAAAGTGATGAAAAGAACCCCTAATAAAATTATTACAAACAAGGATTCAGAAGATAAGATCCTATCTATAATTGGATAGAGTTTTTGTTGATGAATAAAAAAGTCTTTTTCATTGTGAATCTCAATGGTTCATAGTAAGGATTAACGATTAATAAACATCTGAAGTGCTTGTTACAAGGTCGATCGACCAATGTTCATCAATTCGGTGCTGTTATCAAATGATTGTAGTGCAGAGACAATATTGGCCAAGTTGTTCACCTCTTTGAAATCCATCAGTAGATCTCGAGCAAAAAGGCGCCAACAGTGTTTCTGTTTATTATGTCCCTGTACATTTTAGCTTCAAAAAAAAACATCAAACCATCACCACCCTTTTAGCTCTCCCTTAGTAATCAAATTATTTTCCATCTACAACCATCTTGTACAGAGTTTTTCTTTTGCGAAATCTTATCAAACATATCTCAAACCCTTGTTAATAGAGGAAATTTAAAATAACAAAATGTCATCTCCCAATAGTAGTAGACACCAGAGTCCTCTCTTCAGAAGAAGGAACGATCTTTCGATAAATGTCGATAATGATAATTCATTTCAAAAATCGGATGATAATTCTAACTCTTCTCAATCAAGATCGAGTAAGTATATTATTGACTTTTTAATATGGAAGGCATTATGAAATAATTTAAGGAGGAAGATATCTTTCCCCAGTTTCAAGAAATAGAGTGATACAAATGGAAAACGAGATATATGATGATGTATTTATGCAAAATAATAACTCTCTCATATATGAGAGGTTGTTCAATGCAATGGAAAAAGATAGAACACAAATAGTCGAGAAGGATAGGGAGAAGAAGTGGAACTCTCGATTCCATTTAGATCCAATGCCCTCATACAATGTAATGAAAGACAAACATGCCAAAATGTATACAGGTTCGACTACCTTTATTTCCCCTAATACGTCACAACAAAGAACAAGAATACAACCCTATGAACCTGCTTCTTCAGCAAAACAAGAACAACAACCAGTCTCTGTAAGTACATCAACAAGAGAGTTATGTTATTCATACACGAACAACAAAAAGAAGAGAAAAATTAGTTCTGCCTCCTCAACCCGAAGAAGAAGTAACTCGGATAATCAAAAATCCACAATAAGTGATAATGGGAAGTCCTCATCAAAACCTCCTTTGGAACAAAAGAAATCATTGGCCGATATTGAGGCAGAACACTTCTTTGCTAAGTCAAAATCTAGGATACAAAAACTCTGGAGTGAACTCAGAGTACCACAAGATGAAATAGATAGATTCTCTCGAATCTATCTTTCTAAATGCTCCAATGATAATATTGCCATTGTTACAGAAGAAATTAAGCGATTAACAGAACAAAGAAATCTCATTCTCTCAATTCTTAAAAATATTGAAAACAGAGAATTACTGCTGGAAACTCTGTATTCTCTCGTAGAGCGTTATGGTGACGAAAAGATATTCAGTAAGCATTTAGTTGCAAGAGAAGTCAAGAATATCGCTGCTTCATTGAGGCTTTGTACTTTGGAAATTGTAGAATCTATTGTACAGTGGAGAAATATTTTACAAGCACCAAAGCCATTTGTTTGGAGATCGAAGAATTATTTACTCAAAATCCAAACAGATCTAGATTTCTTTTTAATGTCATCACTCATTTCACTCCTTCCAAATGTAAACCCTCTTAAAAATCCATTCCTAATGCCAGGTATTGAATTTGGAGCAACAACCAATTCTCAATCACTCGACAAGAAATCACATCCAACCTCGCCAAACAGAAAAAGACCAAAATTTGATTCTTCACCTTATCTTGCTGGAGGTAGTACTGCATTACCTCCTCTTTCAAAATTGAGACAGGCATCACCTGCTGACAATGATCCTCTCAAAGAAAGAATTTTATATGCCCAAAAAGTAGTCTTCTCTGAAGGAAAAGGAGTGAATGATTCATTTGGATCCCAAACTTGTAATTCTCCATCCAGAGATGACAAGGTTGTAATAGCCCCATACGAAGAATTAGGTGGAAAGGAGGAAGAAGTCGGTGAAGAAAATGATTTATATGCTAGACAAATTGAGGAACAGAGATTGAAAGAGGAGAGAAAGAGACAATTAGAAGAAGAGCAAAGAATGAAGGAGGAAAAGAAGAGACAGCAACTTGCAGAAAAGAAGAAGGAAGAAGAAAGACTGAGGAAAGAGAGGGAAACAATAGGCTTTGTTCTTATTATTCAATCTGCTTTAAGAGGAAGAAAGGCAAGACAAATTCTTGCACACGAGTATAAGGTTGAGGCTGAACGAGCAGCTGTCAAAATCCAATCCCAAGTTAGAAAGAATATGGCCAAAAAGAAGGTTGACAATATCAAGAGAGATAAGTCAATCTTGATTATGCAAGCATGTTATAGAGGAAAGTCCGAGTTGGCAATGTTTGAATACACTAAGGAATTCTGCTCAATCATTGAGGCCTGTGTTGAAGGTATGACAGCTAGAAGAGCCTATTTTGAGGAACAAAACCATAATGCCATCACTGAAAATATCTATGGTGAAGAGGAAGAAGAACCATCTGTTGAGGAAGTTGAGCAGGATTTGTCTCAATTTGAAAAACTTGTTGCTCTTTGTAAGGGTCATTTGAGTAGAGTTGTCTTCAGATCAGAATTGAAAGCACACAAGCAACAAGAAGCTGACAGATTGAAACAATTGAAGGAAGAAGAATTGAGACTCGAAGCAGAAAAAAGAGAAAAAGCTGCCATCAAAATTCAAAGTCAAATCAGATCCTTCTTGGCAAAGAAGAAGACTCAACAAGTTGCTGAACAAAAGAAGCAAGCCTTCATGGAAGAATTAGAACAAGAGAGAAGAGAATACGAAGCTGCCAGAGAAGAAAGAAAGAGACTGAAACAAGAAAGTGCCATTATCACTATTCAAAAGAGTTTCAGAGGCTACTTGGGAAGAGCACAATATGCTGAATTGCTCAGAAGGTATGAAGCAGCCACAAAGATTCAATGTATGGTAAGACAAAAGTTTGCCAGAAAGAAGGCCATGTCTGTCAAACAAAGAAAACAAATGGAAATGGAAAAGTTTTTGCAAGACGAAAGAGCACAATATGAAGCTCTCCTTGCTCAATTATAAACAAATGTATTTCAATGTAATTCATTGAACACTTGAGTTGTGCGATGCGATGATAAGGTTTCTACTACTGCCGCCTTGATGAAATTATTGCTGAAAAGATTACTATCAAACTAGTTACTAAACAAAAGAATTAATATTCGTATTATTTAAATTTTAAATATGGTTTGCAAAAGATTTATTCTTGCTTTTGAGCAGCTTCCTTCATAGCCTTGAGAGTACCCTTCTTAGCATACTTGGAGTTGGTCTTCCATGGTCTGTACAAACCCTTGGATGTGGCCTTTCTTTCCTTTCTTTGCTTCTTGATACCATTTCTATGGTTCTTCTTTTGTTCGTGTTGACCAGTGTGATTCTTGCTCTTTGCCATCTTTTATGTTTTTTTTTCAACAAATTTTTGATGGCGACACTATTGATATTTTACAATGAAAGTTTTCCTCTGCATCCCACACATCAAAAATATTGGCTTGCAATGGATTATTCTCGAGAACTAGCACAGTGACTAGCAAGCTATTGAAGACTATGCAATGACAAGAATAACATACTGGAGTTTAATAATATTATAATAATATTTTGAAATTTGGAAAGATGAATAACAAGAACATTTAATAAACAAACCTTCAAAATTAAATTGGGATATTTACATAGATCAACAATGTCCTTTAAATAAAAAAAGGAGATAATACACTTGGAACACCCAAGTCACCATCAAGAAATGCCACCTCACAATCTTCATCATCACACAGCTAACAGCTAACATAATAGAGGATCTTCATACCGAGATTGAATAAGCATCACCAAAGCCCATTCTCTCGCTCGGAATCATCAAGAGAGAGCGTTGATTTGGCTTGTCCAGAATTGAGAAGAGCACCAAATTTATTAACAAAAAAAATGAGTCTCGTTAAGAAGAAGCAAGAAAAGAATCAAGACACTATTCGTAAACTCTCCCTTGCTGGAGACAACAAGGAATGTATGGATTGTGTTCTCAAGAGTACTCCATACGTTGTTTTGGATTTTGGTATCTTTGTTTGTACTTTCTGTTCAGGTATACAGTAAGTATTATTATTGTTATTGTTGTGGTGGATTGATTGTATTTTACTTTGTATTAATTAATCAAATAATTGAATTATTTTGATAATATTATTTAAATTATAATCGGTTAAATATCTAGTCGTGGTTTTAACTACAAGGCTAAGGGTATTTCAATGACTAACTTTGAAGATAAAGATGTTGAATTCTTTGAAACACACGGAAACAAAGTTGCTTCATCAATATGGAGAGCTAAGTGGGATCAAAACAAGGTTCCAAAGCCAAAATCAACTGATGAAAAGGGAATTAAGGACTTTATTCAAAAGACCTATGTTCAAAAGATGTGGTATGATGCTAGCGGAGCTGCAGCTAAACAAGAAGATATTCCAGTTAGACCAATTGAAAGTATTGGAATTACTCCATCTAAAGTAGAAGTTAGACCTGCTGGTAAGACAACTCAGCCACAACCTCAACAAGAAGAACTGTTCTCTTTTGAATCTGTTCCAGTTTCCAAGCCACAACCAACTCAATCACAACCACAATCTGCCGGATTGGATTTCGATTTTGGTTTTACTAACACTCAACCAACAACTCAACCAACTCAAAAAGTTTCTCAAAAACATCAATCATCTGGGTTCGGTGATGATGATAACTGGGGATTCGATAATCAACCTCAACAAACAACTCACACACAACCACAACAAAAAGCTTCAATTAATGTTGATGATTTATTTGCAGGATTTGGATCGCAACCAACCCAACAATCTCAAGGTGGATGGGGTAATCAACAATCTCAAGGCGGATGGGGACAACAATCCCAAGGAGGTGGTTTTGGAGGTCAACAATCCCAAGGAGGATGGGGACAACAACCACAAAATCAAGGTGGATTTGGAGGTCAACATCAAGGTTGGGGACAATCTCACCAAGGAGGTTTCGGTGGTCAACAAGGCGGATTTGGAGGCCAACAATCTCAAGGCGGATTTGGACAACAATCCCAAGGTGGTTTTGGAGGTCAACAATCTCAAGGTGGATTCGGTCAACAAGGAGGTTTTGGACAACAAACTCAAGGATGGGGCCAACAAGGTGGTCAACAAGGAGGATGGGGTCAACCACAATCACACCAACAACCTCAACAAAATCAAGGATGGGGTCAACAACAAACCCAAGGTGGATTTGGAGGTCAACCACAAGGTGGTCAACAAGGAGGATGGGGTCAACCACAACCAGCCAGAAACTTACAAACTTCACCACCTCCAGTTAAAGATCCTTTCAGTAATTTGACTGGAGCTTTTGGTTCATCAACTACTACTTCCAAGCCACCATCTAATCAAGGAGGTTTTGGTGCAGGCAACAATCCTTTCGATTTTTAAATAAATAATGTAATTTATCAGTTAATCATGTCCTGTCATCCATCACCAATTAAAAAAAAATGTTAAAAAACATATTTCTGAAAATTTATGCTCAAAAGGTTGAACAACCGAAACAAAATCAATTATTAAAATTAGTTAATAACCCCAAGACTAAAGATGAATTAAATAGTGCCTGCACTGCCATGTATACAATCATGACCTCGGAACAAGGATATACAGCCTTCTTTGAATTTATTCAAAATTATATCAAGAATACAATTTCTCTAAATTCACCTCGTTCTCCAACATCATCCGATACTGATTCCAATTCCAATTCTAATAGTGGAAGAGTTTCACATAGAACGGCAACTTCTGCATTTCCAATCGTTAGAAAGAGATTTCAACAATTGTCCATCTCTGAATACACATTTATGGCCATGATGAATGATTTGAAACCTAATAGCAATCCTTTTAAATTTAATAATAATAATAATAGCAGCAATAGCAGTAACAATACCTTTAATAATAATGGCAATGGTAATGGAAATGGTTTATCTAATAATAATTCATTGACAGTTTCTAATTCTCCTAATGATCATGGAGGAAATGGTAGAATTCCTTCAACTTCAACTGTCGATTCAGAATTTATTGAAAATGATGATGATTATTATCAAATATCATTTGATGAATATCAATTATTAGATTTATTCGATATTTTAGATGTTAAAGGAAAGGGAACTATTTCAATAGAAAGTGTTTACATGTTTTTATGCTTGTTTGTTTGTAGGGAAGGAAAATTGCTTACAAAATTCCTGTACCAATTTGGAGAATTTGTCTATGATACTTTCTGCTCAATTGTAACTGTAAATGAAATGGAAACTAATCCATACTTGTCATCAACTCCTGGTAGATCAAGAAGTGGCTCACTTTCAATGTGGAGTAGTAATAGTCCAAATAATGTTCAAACCAAAAACTCAACTGGTGTTACTAATATTGTAAATAATATTTCTCAGAAATTTCATCAGTCAATCACTCCAGTTTCCTCACGTTCTACTAATTCAAGTCCTCAACATGTTGCTCAAGCTCCTCCATTAGTGGTTGAAAAGAGTTCAGAAGAGATTGATCAAGCTCAAGATGTTCAAGAAGAATCGAGTGATGAATTGGATTATTATGAGTCGTTTGATGAGTGGACTCAACACGAAGATATTGATTTGGATTATTATTCAAAGAAGAGATCTGACTTTTTGAAATTGGCAATGCTTATTGGTTTTGATGACATGACAATTGTCAATCATGTTAATGAGCTTCAAAATTTGATTTTAAAGAATAGAGCACAAAAAACCAAGCAACAAAACATTACACTCAAGAGAGAAGATTTCATGTTTATTTACTATTCAGTTTTCAAGGAGTTTGATAATCCTAATACAAGAAGTTCAAGTTCTAGTGCTTCCTCAGGAGGAGTTATCAAAAGAAAGAAGAGAAAAAACAAAGCTCTACAACAATCTTCAGAGAGAAGATAATTTACAATTTTGTCAATGTATTCACAAAAGTATATCTGGAAAAGAGAACAAACAATTTTCTAAACCAAACAAATTGACTTTCGTGGGAGCTCATTGCTTTCCATGCAATAAATGGGTTTGGAGTAAAAATTGTAACATTTTCGTCACTGTTAAAGTGTAAACTAATAGCAAATTCAATAATTCCCAAATATTTGCGAAGTAAATTAACTGATTCCAATGTAAATATATCAATTGAGGTTTGTTCTCTTTTACATCTATCTGAAAAGTATGAAACTCCTCTGAATACGTCAATATGATTTGGATGGCTTGAAATTCCATCCTTGTCAAATGTTAACAAAGTTGTAATTCCATTCTGTTCTACAAATTTGGCAACAAAATTAGAAATCAATTCATCGCTCCACTTATTATTCATTCCATCCAATAATTGATCATTGTCAACTATCACTAAAGAACCACTCAAATCATCTTGTAATTCCTTAACAACTTTTGCATTATTACAATTCAATCCCATTGAAGAACAACTCAATTCCAATTCCTTAACTCTCTTTTCTCCCAATCCATCAAAATTTCCATTCGACAAGCACAAAATGCTCACAGATACTTGTTGCTCAACCAATGAAAGTAACATTGGAGAAAAGAACATGGCTTCATCATCTGGATGTGCAATCACCAAAGCCACTTTCTTTCTATTATTTGAAGTTTCATTTGTTTGTTGTTGAGTTTGATTCAGAAATTTGGAAAGAATTGTTTCCTTTGAATATTTCCTCTTCATTAAATATAAAATGTAAATGAATATTCCAACATTGAACACAACTAGAAGAGCCTTTACCAAAGCAAGAATATTATTCAAATCCGAGTATTCAAATAGACTATCATTTTGACGGTAATATTGTTGTTCTTTTGAAACTTTTTTAAATTGTTTATATAAATCTTGTACTTGTCTATTTACACGTTGTGATGATTCATCACGAACAACATTGAATCGACTATCAACTACACCTTGCTGCTGCTGATTATTATTCATCTTTAATAAATTAAATAAATTATTAATAATATATTGAGAGTTTCAATTTGATTCCCTCGCTTTTAAAAACTGTGATTGGGAATTTGCTTATTTTTTCTCTTCGTTTGTTGTTGTAGGTTCATTGGTGGTAGTTGTTGTTGTAGATGTGGAAGAAGCATTGTTTTGGTCATTCTCTTGATTTCCTGTCAAGGCAGAGGAGACTTGATTGTAAGTATCACCAACGAGTGAAGTTACATTACTAGAAAACCATGAATAGGCACTAGTTAAAGTAGTAGCAGTGGTTTGGGCAGTTTCTTGGAGTTTTTGTTTGGCTTCTTCCGATGTAATGTAGTGATAGACTTCTTCAGTCTTTTCAGCAGCAACACTGTAGGCATCTTTTACACCTGTAAGTACAACTGTAGATCCTTCAATGGTCTTATTCTTGACAATATTAACAATTTCTTCGACCTTTTCGAGATTTAAATCTTGATTGTTATTCTTATCGTCGTTGTTGCTCATTTTATTTGATTGGAAGAATTAATTGTAACGAAAGATGAAATTAGAATGTTGGGATGGACTCAATTGAGATTGTTAAGTAGATGACGATTAGTGATGATTGAACACCTAATTTCAAGTTTTAAATAAATTGAAAATTACTAATTTTAGTGTTAGAAGTAACCTATGAAATGAGATTCAATTTTATCGAAATACTTGAATTCTCTTATTGTGCGTATCTGCAACAAATAATTCTCCTCTCGATTCACTAATACATAGGCCAGTAGGGAATTTAAAGTGACTCTTTCCAGTCGATCCAATCTCTCCAAATGATTGAATAAAAGAACCAAAGTTATCAAATACGTGAATTCTTGAATTTGATTGATCACAAATATAAATGTATCCACTTAATTTCTCAACAAAAACTCCTCTTGGATATTGGAACTCGTGTAAACCCACACCTTTCTTTCCAAACGAAAAGTAAATTTGTTTTTTCTCCAAAACTTTTGAAATTACTGAAATGGTATGAGTTGCAAGACTTGTTACAATCAAATCTCCATCTGTATTGATTTCCAATCCAAATGGAAATTTACAAGCCCCAAATGATGAAATCAATTTACCATCTTGTTTTGATAGGCACTTAATCTCATTATTCGAACAATCGGATACATATAACCTTCCATCAATTGAATTATCTGCAACAATTCCACTTGGATGCCTCAAATTCTGAGATGTTTCCCATATGATTTTTTTCTGTTCAATGTCATATTTTCCAACTTGATTATTCATATTTGAAAAGTAAATGTATTTCTGATCAGAGGAGTCAATCGAAATCATTAATGGAGAGGTAATTCCAGTAAATGATTGTATAAACTTTTTGGTTTTCAAATCAAATACCATTATTCTATTACTTCCAGAATCTGAAACAAAAATCAATGAAAGCATATCTGAAACCTTTACATCAGAAGGCTGTATAAATTCAATATTTTCTCTTCCCTCTCCAATAATATTAATGCATCGGAATGATAGACTGAATTTCATTCTAGAGTATAGAAGTTTTCCTCTCAAGAATTCTAATCCTTTACGAAATCGGTGATCTTGTAAATCAAGGCTCGTTCCATTATCCAATATCAGTTTGACCATTTGAAATTAATTGTGTGTCTATGAGATGTTCTTCTATTTTTTAATCGTTTTGCTTCTTTCATCTTCTCTCATGTTTTTTAAAAAATGAAATATTGTATTTAATAAATTAAATAGTATTAGTGTTATTATTTGATCATTGATGATGACCAATAATAATACTTTGGCAATAAAACTAATTAGTAGAATAATAATACTAGTAATAATAAATATTAAAGCTAAGAAAAAAAATGACTCAATTTTTCGATAGAAAGAAACTCATCCGTCCAGGAAGATTTGATTTGGATACTTTTAAATCAAAGATTGGTCTTGCCATTTCAGTTTTCGGATTGTTATACGGAGCCAATATGGCCTTTGGTGGTTTCCTTAAACCAACCTATGAAAAGTGGGCTAAACCATCAACAGAAAAATATATTAATTGTACGTAATAATAATAATAATAATTTATTAATCATCATCATCGCAAATAGTCATGAAGGACGAAGTTTCAGGAAAGCACTAAATTCAACAATCTAAACAAAATTAATTTATATAAAATTGGAATTTTTCTTTAACGTTCTACCACTATAGTATTAACACCATCAAAATATTCAATTAAACACAACAATATCGGAATAATAGAAAAGTTTCTAATTCCTCTCCTCTTTGGTTATTATTGTTATTCCATCTTTTAAACAATAACCAAATATATAAATATATTAAAAAATGAATCAGAAGACACTCTACAAGACAATTGGTATTTCTCTGCTTGTGTTTCAGGTAGTGATGGTTGTTTACATGTTATTTAATAGGAAGAGGTCATCGTTTGCTACCTCTCATAAATTGTTTGTTCCACACTACTTTAACGAAACTTTGAGTTATGCTGATAAAGGTTTGGCTCCACCAAAGGAAGCCTTTGAAAAGATGTTGTATCTTTATCAACAATATCATCAATCTGTGTTGGATTCGTATGTCTTTTCGGGAAGGAATTGTTTTTCGAATGGAGTCATTCAAGGACATGAAAAATCACCACAATTTGTTGTATTCAAGGCTCATATGTATAGTGGATATGGTAATATTATTATGGGACTCTTTTCGACTTTGTTATATGCCTTGTTGAGTAATAGAGTTTTCTTGGTAAATTGGAATGGAGGAGAAGTTGGTTGTCATGCTTCTCTTTCTCAATTATTGAAGGATCCTGTTCTTAAATCTCATTCTTTAATGTGGAATTATGCTGATGTTAAAAGTAAATCTATTGAAAATGGTTGTCCAAGAGAAAGATGGGAGTCAATTGAGAGAAATTGGCTTCATATGGAAAGTACTGTTTATCATGACAGATCTAAATTATCGTATAGATATTTCAAATGTAGCAAAGGATTTGCTCAAATTCTTCCAACATATTTAAGCAAGGAAAATGAGAAATTCAATCAAATTAATTCTAAAGATTTTATTGAAATGGAAGCAGCTCAATACTTTGCCCCATCTTTGTATGCTGACAATGATGTGTACTATCAATTATTTTCAAAATTTGAGAAAAAGAATATGGATTGGGAATTAGTTCCTCAACTTTATAGGATTAATATTTTCGAAAAATTAGCACCTTTCTTATTCAAACCTATTGATACCATTCAAAACAAAATTGATGAATATGAAAAGGAATTATTTGGAGAAAAATTGGCTAATCCTGATAGTACTTTTATTTTGGGAGTTCAAATCAGAAAGAATTTACAGGAAAATCTTTTCCACAATACTCCAGTGAGTATTTACTGGGACTGTGCAAAGCAAAGAATATCAGCCCTTGACACGAAAAAGTATAAGAAGGTCATTATCTTCCTTACAAGTGATTATGTTCCTGCATATGATGAAGCCAAACATGTATTTAGTGAAATGAAAATTAAGGGAATTGAAATATCACTTGTTCACATGCCTCAAAACGTTCCAAAATCTAGATCTGTAGAATCTGTTCAAACTGCCTTGGTTGACTTGTATGTCATGATGAAAGCAGATGATTTAATTATGAGTGAAAAATCTACATGTAAGTTTATTGAAATATTTGACAATATTTACAAACTGGTTTGTTAATCATTGCAAGTTGGTCATATTATTCACGCAACAGTAGGTATTGCTCCACTTTTTGTCAGAAAGGAAGGAAAATATGAAAAGATTCCAAAATGTGTTAGAGCTCAAAATAGTGAACCTTGGTAAGTTATTTTTCGATATCAATATGTATTTATTAGATAATAGGTTCCATTTAAGATTTAGAAATCAACTCGAAAATTGTTAATCAGATTGGATTGCTTTCAAGCTGAGATGATCTGATACACTCTTTGGACTTTCTAATGCTAAACGACTTGATCTAAGACCAAGTTTAATACATTTTTCAATTGGTTCATTACAGAAAAGTCCAAAGCAGAAACCTCCTGAAAAATTATCTCCACATCCAGTTACATTAGCTATGAAATTATCAAGTCAGATATTGTAAGCTATCAGTACTATCAAAAATTTAACATACCTTTTGGATCAGAAAGTTTTTCTCTCTTTGGAAGAGCTGCATAGTGCTTGATTACCATCTTCCCCTTTATAAGTGTTCCGTGTTTGAGTCCTTTTGGTCCCTTTTCAAAGAATTAGAATTTTAGTTTGTGATTCATTCAACTTACCTGTGTTAAAAGTACATGTTTAACACCAGCTTTTTCCAGTAAAACTCTAATGCATTCATCAGCACTCAGTTTAACTTTCTTTTTCAAAAAACATTCCACAATACTGAATATTTCATGCTCATTAGGTTTGATATAAGTGATACAATCAAGAATTCCTGCAACAACAGCTTGTTTTGATTTGGCAATACTCGTTGGATCTAAAAAGATGTCTGCTTTACCTTTCAATAATTTTCCAATTGCTTTAAACGCATCGACTGAGGAGTTACTATCAAGGAATACTATTGGATTTTGCTTTTCATTAAGGAGGGAAGTAAGGCACATCTCTATATGTTTGGTGGTTTTGGCATCTGTCAAAATTGCCATATCTGCGACAGCTGAAACAAGTTCACCAGTTTCATCAATCAAACAATTGTAAATTGCAGTTCTGTTGTTAATATTCTCAATGACTGTTTTTTCTGGCATTTGAATTTTAAGATCATACCTCAAGTGAGAAAGAAGAGATTTTCCAAATGTATCACCACCAACAGATGTAACAAAGTTGAGTGGTAATTTTTCAAGATCTGTAGATTGTAAGAGTTTTGAAAGTACCTCACATACATTTCTTGCCACACCCCCAAATGACAGTGACACTGATCCAATATTTGAAGTTTTTGGAATTAGTTTAGTACCTTGTTGTGGTTGACACATAATATCCAAAACTGAACCACCAATAACCACTAATTCACGTTTCTGGGATCCAAACGGAGATAATTTAGAAAGAATTGATTTTTTCTCAGATTGAGCATACTTTAAGTCGTCCAAGAATAAATCTTTTTCTAGAGTTTTATCCAAGAAGTTATTCTATTTATTTACAATTACTGTTATTATAGTCAAATAAATAATTAAATAAAGAAACTTACATTTAAACTTTGAATCTTGCTCAATTCAACAGCAATTTGTGCACCAACACGAGCATTATTCAAGACTAATTCAATATTAGCTCTCAAACTATCACCTCCTGTTAATTCGTTAATACGTTGTAAAAGGAATGGTGTAACATCCTTTCCTTTAACGTTCTTTTGTTTGGCTTCAGTTAAACCTTGTTCAATGGCCTTAGTCAAGATTCCAGATTTAGCTTCCAAATTTTCTGGAATTGGAACAGCAACCAACATTCCAGAATTTAATCCAAGTTGAAGATTTGAATTAATTAATTTGGCACATTCAAGAGGTGAATCCAATCTACAATGAGCTTTACAACCACTCTTTGATGTAAAGAAAGCAGGGAATTCATCAGTTTGATAAGATGCTACTGTCACACCTTGAGTTTCTAAATATTCAAGAGTTCTTGGAATATCCAAAATTGATTTAACACCAGCAGAAACTACCAATGTTGGTGTTCTTCCTAATTCTGTCAAATCACTACTAACATCCATTGGATCAATTTCATTATTATTTAAAACTCTATGTACACCTCCAATACCACCTGTGACAAAGACATGAATTCCAAAACGATGAGCCAAAAGCATTGTTGCAGAAACAGTAGTAGCACCATGTTTTTGTTGACTACAAACCAAAGCAACATCTCTTCTCGAACACTTTACAACTTTCTTTTCAGATCCTAATTTTCCAAATTTATCCAATTCTTGATCATTAATTCCAACATGAATAATACCATCAATAATACAAATAGTGGCAGGTGTAGCACCATATTTTCTAATTTGATCTTCAACACGTTTAGCAGTTTCAATATTCTTTGGATAAGGCATTCCATGACTATATTCATCGTTAAATTATTATTCAATTATTATTTAATATATATTTAAATTCAATATTAATATTAATTATTATTCATTGATCAAAAGATGATGAATTTAATTAAACTAACCTAATAATTGTAGATTCCAATGCAACAACAGCCTTGTTTTGTGCGAGGGCTTCCTTTACTTCGGGATGAATCTTAGCCTTCACCAAATAATCATCAAATGAATTCTTCTTAGCCTTTTCAGCAGACATTGTATTCACTAAATTCGATTGATGTTGTTCAACAACAACAGGAGAGGAATTGCTTTGGAACATGGAAGCGAATTGGCTCACTCTATTGGAAAACAAATGATCCCTGATGGAAAATAATCTTCTTTGTGTTGTATCGTTGTTTTGCATTTTTTTATTACTTTAATATTTAAATATTAAATATATTTAAATATATTAAAGTATTAAAGAATGAACAGATGGTAAAAAGAATGGAAAATCATGTGGTGAAAATTGTCTTTGGAGATTCTTTTTGGAAATCTTCAAAACTCCTCGGAAATTCCATGAATTAGTTTCTTCCACACACTAGAAAAAAATGTCTTCATCATCGGAGGAACACGTGCTGTCGCCAGCTCTATCAACATTCAGTGCTGTCGTATGTAAATCTATTCATCAGATGATTGTGAGATTTGAATTTATTGATTTTTAATATCTTTGTAATTGATGATTTTAATGATTTGATGTTTTATTATATATATATTGGAATGATTATGATGATGAATTTAAATGATATAATATATAAACAGGTCGGATGGGGATACTTTTTAGCATGGTCACTTTCTTTCTATCCACAAAATATTGAAAATTTCTGGAGAAAGAGTGTTGTTGGTTTGAGTTTTGATTTCTTAACTTTGAATATTATTGGACACACTTCCTATTTGATTTTTAATTGTGTCTTGTTTTGGGATCCTACAATGAAAAAGCAATATGAACTTAGACATGGCTCAGCAAATGTTCAAACAAATGATGTCTTCTTTTCGATACATGCAGTGACTTTGACTGCCATTACAATTTTCCAATGTATTATTTATGAAAGAGGTGGACAAACTATTTCAGTTCTTGCTAGAGGAATCAGTTTGACATTATTATTGTCAATTAGTGTTGCTGTCTTTTTGGCATTAGGTACTAGAATTGAATGGGTTGACTTTTTAAAGTATTTGGGTATTGTTAAATTGTAAGTTTTTATTGATGAGTGTTAAATATTGAAATTTGAAAAGAATTGTTACAACTATTAAGGTATGTTTTCAATCAGTTGATTAATTAATTAATTCATTCATGTAATTGGAAATAGTACATTCCACAAGCATTTATCAATTACAAGAGAAAATTAACAATTGGTTGGAGTATTGGAAATATCTTGTTAGATTTTTCAGGAGGAGCTCTTTCAATTTTCCAAATGGTCATTGATGGAATTAATACTGGAGATTGGACACCTTTCTATGGTGATTTCGTCAAGACAGGACTTGGATTCCTTTCTATTGCATTTGATATAATTTTCATGATTCAACATTACATTCTCTATCGTAAGAATAATAAGGAATATTATGCAAAATTGAGAGAAACTAGGAAATTATCCATGTATGAGGAGATGTGGGAATCATTCAAGACTAAATTCCTTTCAAGATTTAGAAAGAATAGACAACAAGAACAACAACATTCTGAGAATGGTGAATCAAATCCATTAATTGTTTCGAATGGTGAATCTTTGGAACCAAATAATGTTCAATCATCAACATATTATCAACAAGAAGAAGGAGCAACCATTTAAATTATGATGGTGTTTTTTTTCATTTCAAACATTAAATATTTTGTAAAATACAATACTTCCATTTTTGTATAAACCACTATCTTGTTTAAATTGTCACTAATCATTAGAACAACAATAATTGTAAAAGATGGTTGTACAATATACCTTACGGTAGTTAGTTTCAGTTTTATGATTCCAAGTCAAGTTGATGAGTACTGACACTATTTCATAAAATAATCAATTGACATCTAATGCCAATCTCTGCTTAATGTTTATTGTTTCGCTCTCATTACTCTTTTGAAATCGATTAATGCCTCAAAGATTCAATGTAACGATTTCGTACTGGTAGTAGTTTCCTCACTTTTTTACAAATAACCGAAAAACAGTCAACTAACAAAAAACCTTCAAATGCTGTCACTATCTCCTTAATTTTAATGTAAATTCATAAAGAAAAAGAGACAACCCTCACACTAATCAACAAGTGTATTTTAATTGGTTGACGTTTAAGAGAAATATGACTTCACTTTCAAATCCATCAAATAACATTTTGACAGCTGCCATGAATAATTCAACAACTACTTACCATCAACAAGGACATGTTTCTGCAGAACAAGCCCTCCTTTCCATGATTAGTAATCCAAACTCCTCCCTTTCATTCTCCAATCCAAATTCCAATAATTCCTTCTTACTTTCCAATAACTTTAATCCTCAACAACAACAACAAATCTTGAATTCCTCAGCCAATTCTCAACAGATTATGAATCCACAACAAGAATATATGAAACACATTCTAATGAGAATTGATCAATCTCTTGATATGGTCTCTCAAAATCTGTTCAGAGATTTGGACAGTTTCTACATGATGCAACATCAAGAATTTAATCATAAAAAGAGAAAGTTTTCAGAATATGAAGAAGCTACTGATTACAATCATGGTATTGGTGCTGAGTTGATTGAAGAAGGTGCAGAGGGAGTTGGTTGTAACAATTCGTCCAATTTCGTCCAAAAATCAGCAGTTCAACAAGAACTTGACAATGAATCCATTGAATTACAACAATTAACTGATTGGATTCAAAATAAGAAGAGAAAGAAGAATACCTCTCAAGGAAAAAAGGAAATTTTGAAAGAATTCTTAATGCTCAATAAGAATAATCCATATCCATCCGAAAGACAGAAAGAAATTTTCATGAAGGAACTTGATTACGATAAGAAACAACTTAACAATTGGTTTATCAATGCTAGAAAGAGATATTTACGAAAGAAGGTTGCCTATACTCCACCAGATATTAGAAACAAGAATGAATTTGATTCAATTTTGGAAAATAAGGTTAGACAATCAATGAATCACAATGGAGAGGAAGATGATGAGCAGAATTTACCACTTCTCAACTAGGAAATGCTAGGAAATTTAATATTCGAGTTTAAATAAATGTAAAATAATAATGTAAATAATTATTCGAAAGTGAAAAAGTTTAATCAAAAAAAATGAATAGACTTTGGGATGAATCATCATTGGAATCTGTGGATATTTTTTCTCATGTTTTTCAATATTTAAAGTTAGAGGAATTATATACGCTTCAAAAAGTTTCTCCCTTTTTTTACCGAACTATCGAATATTTAAAATCACTTCTCATCAAACCACTCTTTGATATTGGAATAGTTTCAAGTGATAGGGATCAATTAGAAGACTTTATTCAACTTTTCCTAAAAGAAAAATTAACATCCACCAATCCGAAACCTTTCCACAATATAAATGAGCTAAAGACAAGCAACCAAAAAGACGAAATGCACAGTGTGAGTTTTAATGGATCACAAATTCACGTCTTCCACCCAATTGAAAAGGAATTCATTCTCAAAAAGGATCGATACAGAGTATTTTTCTATCCTCTTCTTTGTGAATACAAGACAAGTCTTGCCCATGGAGAATTCGAACGATTGGATGGGTTTATCTTTCTGAAACCGAAAGATTTGAGTATCTATGCCAGTATGCCGAGAGGTTGTGGCTATTGTGCAACTCTGTTGGAATTGGGAGAGTCTGGAATAAGCTCTAATGATGAAGCATTGAGTATGCCAGTTAGTGAATTTGGAAAATTTAAAATTGAGAGAATGGAAAGATTGAATATCGAAAAGGAAATTATTAATAGTCTGAATTATATTTCGGAAAATTCAGGTCGAGTATTGGATTTGAATTCTTCGGAGGAGGGTGGAGTGAAAACTTGTTTATTGGAGAAAATAGAGTCGATTATAAGAGAGCCAAATGATGGAAAAGTTACTGATATGGTTTACTGTCTATTTAAAAAGAGGTTTAGTTTAAGATATTTGATATTGGCAGAGAAAGTGAGATACACAGTAAGAAAATTGAATTTCTTCAATTTACCTCATAATGTTCAATTCAGTCTGTTGGAAAGATTGTACAGAGCTGAAATGGGACAGAATGCTGTCAAAATAATTGACGATGTGTATTCCATTAAGGTTATTTACAACAGCGGTTTAAAATATGTTCTAAACTATCAAAAAAACAAATGGGAAACAAAGGAATTTGAAACTACGATATTATTTGATTTGGTTTCTCAGGAAATTAGATTTGACAGCAAGCAAACGAACAGATACACTAATAATTCCAAATGTATAATTTGTTAATTAAATATTAAATTGATTCAGTAATATTGATAACCATCCAACTGCTTAATTTTCGACTCTCTATCTCTATTAAAGGTTATTCTTTTTAGTATGTCACCTTCTTTTTCGAGGATTGTTATATGATCTAGCTGATCAGAATAAATAGCATCCCTTCGTTGTGTCAAAAAATCTTGTGCACTAAGGGTTGAATAGGTTGGCTCAGCACTTCCATGTTCAAGAATATCATCATATTCCTCAATGCATACATTAGAAATCATACTGTCATCACTGTAATAAGTTTCCTCATTTGATGATTCGCTGTCACTACTTTCAGTATCACTCTCATATCTATTTTTGAGCAAGTTGATTGGTGTTTCAGTTTCATAATCTTTATCCATTTCATCATCTTGAGTTTCATCCAAATAACTTGACTCAAATTGTCCTTCAATAATCTCAATTAAGGTGTTCAAAATTGTTTCATCACGAATAAACTTTTCCAGTTGATTTCTTACTTCTTCTGAATTAATTTGCATTATTTCTACCAAATTATTTTCAAATTCTCCAAGTTTCACATATTCCCTATCAACACTTTGGTAATCTAAATTTGTTGTGGAGGTAATCAAAGATCCAGCCAAAGACACATCTGCACCAATAATAAAATCTCTCTCAGAGAAATTGGCAATATCTTCAGCAAGAGTGAAATTGTTGGAGATTAAATTCTCACAAGCTTGTTGAATAAACATCTTGGCATTTGGCATGATTTTGATATCACACTTGAAATCGAGTGAAGTTTCTTGAATAAGAGGCCCTATATGATTTTTTGGAATTACTAAATCTTTTCTGAAAACAAACTCTGGTCCTATTGTAATACTTGTTTCATCATTGGTTGTTTCAGTTACTACCTCTTTTGGTTGTTCGTCATCTTGATCATTTTCTATTGAATTGGCTTTTCTCTTTAGAATTTTAACAAAGTTTCCATCATCTTGTTCACTCATATATCCATTCATCATATTAACAAAGTCAAAATATTCGTATCTACTATAACTCCAATCAACAAGCTCAAGTTCTTCAAGAGGTTTCCGTAATTTTCTCAAATTTTCATTGTAAACGTAATCCTTGTGAGGATTTCTCTTTCTTTTCGATGCTTTTACATTTTTCATTTCCTTCACAACCCATTCGTACGACAATCCATACTCATTTTCAGATTCATCAGATTCGTCAGAATCATCAGAATCTTCATCCATTAATTCATCATTGAATGATTTTTCTACAATTACGAATTCCTTCATTGGTGTATAATGTTTGTCATCTACAACACCTGCTTCATCCAACAAGATGCCCTTCTCCAAGCTCAGCTTGTGAAGATCGTTTGGTCTGTCGACATCTTTGATTTTCTCCACTGTATCAAATGTTATATTCACTTGTCCATATTTTCCTTCCAATATTTCAAGTATTTGAGATTGTTCTGAATTGACTTCACCAATTTTGCAAAGAGTGAAACAGTTGAGTTTCCTTCCTCTGTGTTCAATTTTTGATTCAACAAATGGATTTGCCAAGTATTTGTGAATTAGCAATTCACACATTTCAACATTTCTCTTTTTGACTGCATGATGAAGAATTGTCAATCCACATCCATCATGAATATAGGTCTTTACATGTGCCTCAAGACAAACATTCAAACAATCCAAACTTGATGTATTCGAAAGAGAGGCAAGTGTTGTTTCATTCTTATTTCCAACATTTAAACACCATTCCAATAATTGTGAACTGTTTATCCAAACTGCCAAATGTTGTAAATAAAATCCTTTTGATATCTTTGGTATAAAACTATCAAATACTTCACATGTTTCATAATTTCTCTTCATACCAATATCACTGAATCTCATTCTATCAACCTTAATTCCACACACTCTCAGTTTTTTCATTATATTGGTTACTAAACATGAACTGATTGAACTACCAGATACTAAACATGAACTATCTGAGTTATTTGATTCTTTTTTCAAACAGTTAATACCTTGAAACTTTTCAATAATAAATAAAATGTAATCTCTTGGAATGCAAGAGTATGTATCATCCAATTCACTCCAGCAGTTCGCAATATCTTCATCAAACAAACTTCGTGTTTCAATGATTTCTAATAAATTCTTGTCAAAAATGATTTTATCATTCCATTCAATTTCTTTTGGTTTCTCTTGCCATGAATTCACAAGTTTAACAGCTGGTTCAAATAATTTGCCAAAAAACAATCCAATAGGAATTGAGACTTGACCCATTCCAATGTGTGAAATCATCTCTCTTCCTAAACATGATTGAATCATTGCTTTTAACACCAATGCCTTCTCTTTCGAATAACTTTTAATCCATTCTTCAAATCTTTCAAATAAATTCATTGATTTATCATCATTTTCAGATTCATACGTAATTAATTCTTCATCTCTTGTAAGATAGACAACCTGGCTTTCTTCATCCTTGGTAAAATCTTTGAATTTGTTTCTATGAGTTTTAAATAATAATTGATCATGAAATGCATGTGTTGGAAAGAAGGAATCGGAATCTGAAAATTTATTATTCTTTCCTCTCAATTGATTCATCAAAACATTCCAAAAAGCAGCTTCATCATCAAGCAGAACTCGGAATGTTTTGTTAATGTTTCTAAAAGTGATAATTTGATGAAACAATTGATATGGATCCACTTGAAAATAAAAGATGTTTTCCAATATTTCATTGGGCAGATCTGTTAATAACATTTTTTTTAGCTAATTCTATTCATAATCGATTGGATTTGAAATTGGCATTCTGTTCACTCAAGTTTTATTATCAATACAAGTCAATTAATCTGTTTTAAGGGAAGTTAATTCTAGTTTACTATATCTTTTGGTAATTGTAAATTATTTGATTCCATTCATTCACACAACCTTAATTGTTAGTGTTTGTACTTGTAATTTGCAACTTGATTTATGTAATAAATTGAAAATTGAGGACCTTATCATCAATAACTTACCAAGTTGTTCAAACAATAGTTGTTCAAAATCAATGATCTAAACTATACACCTAGATTTTTTACAAATCCAAACGTATCGATAGGATATTACGACTCTATTGTAAAATGTGATTGGAATTAACTCCGAGGACAATTTAAAAATGAAAAGAAAGGCAGAAGCAGATTCTATCGAAAACGAGAAGAAACAAAAACCAAATAATTTCCAACACTATCATGATGACTCGGAAGACAAGGTAACATTCTATCTCGATTTAAACATTGCATCAAAATTGCTTTCAGATAAAATCAGAGACAACACAGACAAGACGAAAATAAGGAGATTTGTTACCAAGATCAAAAACAGCTCCACAGAAGAAGAAGGAAGAAATATTATGCGAGAATTCAATGTTGATGTGGTAAAAGAGAGATTTTTACTCACTCAATTGTGTAATTCAATTTTTAACAAGAAAATAATTTGGATTGGATCTTTATTCAAGTTGTGGAATAATAGAACATTTGTGGAGAATATAGTTAAACAAAGTGGTAAATATTATTCATACTTTGAGTACGCATCTGAATCATTAAGGAATGACAGAGAAATGGTGATGATGGCAGTTCAACATGACAGCTTTGCACTTGGACGTGTATCTAAAGAATTAAAGAATGACAAAGAAATTGTAATGCTTGCTGTACAAACACTTGGCCTCACTCTTATTCATGCATCGACAGAATTGAAAAGTGATCGAGAAATTGTTTTGAAGGCAGTTCAGAAGGATGGTAAAGCACTTTCGTGGGCAGCTGAAGAATTGAAAAGCGACAGAGAAATTGTAATGGCTGCTGTGAAACAATGGGGAAAATCAATCCAAAATGCATCTAAAGAATTGCAACGTGACAGAGAAATTGTACTAAATGCCGTTCAACAGGATGGAAGAGCTCTTGATTATGCATGTGAGGAACTGCACAGTGATAGAGAACTTGTATTGGCTGCTGTCAAACAATATGGTAAAGCAATAGAAATTGCATCCACCAAATTGCAACAAGACAGAGAAATTGTAATGGCTGCCATTCAACAAGACATTGAAGCACTCGAATATGCATCTGAATTATTAAGAGATGATAGAGAATTTATCAAAATGTTTGCTCTCTACAATGGAATTAGAGCACTTTCTTATGCAAGTGATGAATTTCAAAGTGATAGAGAAATTGTAATGCTTGCTGTAAAACAAAATGGTGTAGCACTTGCGTATGCATCTGAAAAATTGCAAGGTGATAGAGAAATTGTAATGCTTGCTGTTCAACAAGATGGATTAGCTCTTGAGTCTGCATCTGAAGAATTGAGGAATGATAGAGAAATTGTATTGGCTGCTGTTCAACAAGACGGATCAGCTCTTCAATTTACATCTGAGGAATTTCAACGTGATAGAGAAATTGTAAAAGCTGCAGTGAAACAAAATAATGATTCAATTATTTATGCAGCCGATGAAATGAAATATGATAGAGAAATTTGTGAATTACTTTCTGAGGAGGAAGATGAAGAAGAAGATGAAGAGGAGGAAGAATAAATATTTCGTGAGCCAACTCTTATTCTATGTTCTAATTGTCGAATTATGATTTTCTGATTTAAAGTTATTTCATTAATTCCTATTGCAGGAATTATTTCCAAGGTTATAAAAACTATTGTAAGGCAAATGAGGGTACAAAACATTTTTAAGTTATTTTTATCATTTCCACCAAAGAGAATTCTTCCCGCCAACGAAATTCAAAAAAACCTTGAAGCCTCTGTTATGTGCTGAAGAAAAGGCTTAAAAAAAATGCAACAACAACCTAGCGAACAAGACTTGACCAACTTTGGTATTTTGATGCAAAATACACTCAATCATGAAAATAATGTGAGAGTGAAGGGTATGTAGATTGTTGTAGGAATGTATATATAACGTATTTTTTAACAGCGGAACAAGATTTAAAGTTAATGGAAAAACAACCTGGTTTTGTGATGTTGCTCCTTACTTTTATTTCTAAACAATTAACTAACAAGTTTATGGGTGCCCAATCGGCTATTATATTGAAGAATTTGGTGAAGAGAGATTGGGATGTTGGTTTGATTTTAAAAAACGAAGACAAGGAAATTATAAAATCAGGAGTTGTGGATATTATGATTAGAAGTGATCTTACAATCCAAGAAATTTTGTCAGAAGTAATTACAATCATTAGTTTACATGATTTTTACAAGAATTGGACAACTTTACTGCCAGTAAGTTTATTATTTTCAACCATTTTCTTAAGAAATTTAGTATTTGGTTAATTTATTAAAAACAAACACTGATAAATTTGAATCCACTAGAGGTGTACTTGCCACTTGCCATTCACTTTTTAAGAAATATAGAGAACAAGCTAAATCCGACGAAATTGAAGATGAATTAATTTATATTATGAAAGAATTTGCCGAACCAATGTTAGGTTTATTCCAACATTTCATTTCCCTTGTCCCACAAATTACCGACCCAGCCAGCTTGAAATCAATTTTTACATGCATTAATTTACTTTTGGAAATTTACTATTCTTTGAATTGGATTGATATTCCTGAATTTTTCGAAGATCACCTTCCAGAATATAGCAACATCTTCCTCTTCCTTTTGAATTACCAAAATTCTTCCCTCGATAATAATCTCTATGAAGAACCAAGTCTTCTAGATACAGCTCAATCCCTTGTGTTCCAATCAATTAACTTGTATTTGGAGAAATATGATGAAGCTTTCATTCCTTATGTTGAAAACTTTGCTACAGCAACATGGCAATTAATATCAAAGCTGGACATGAAGATCAAGTACGATAATCTTGTATCTAAAGCTCTAGAATTTTTGACCGTCACAAGTAGAAGTGAAAAGCACATTATTTTCAAGGATGCACTTCCTGCAATTTGTGAAAATATTATCATTCCAAACATCTCACTTCGTGAAGAAGATGAAATCATCTTCTCAGAAGAACCAATCGAATATATAAGAAGAGATATTGAAGGATCTGATTCTGACTCTAGAAGAAAATCAGCTAGTGAACTCATCAAAACTCTTAGTATTCACTACGAAA